TGAGCAATATCCTGAAGCGGGCATTCTGTATTTTTCTCCCATTCTTAAATAGATTATTCTTTTGTAGAGAAGATGAGACCTTTTTTGTTCCCATGCTTATCAGTAACAATTAAGTCAACCCATGAGTCCTTTTTTTTAAAGCTAGGCAGAGGTTATCTTGGTTTGATTAATAAAAGCAGTGTTTGCTATTTAAAAGATTTACCTGCTCCAGCTGTTTATCAGAAGAGTAAGCAAAGCTATCGATTCTGGCTTTAGACAACTTGCAAATGAGTAGTCTGGGTCCTCATTTTCTTCTACTAGTTTTAGCATTAACTTGATATGATAAAGCACAAAGAATAATACTGTACCAGCAGCTAATTTTAGCTAGGATTGTATCCTGCCTTAGCTCTAACAAAATCTACTGTGATTTTGGCCTGAAAGCAGTTCTACACTCTGCAAGTTAATCTAAGGACCTGGTCTTTCTTTGAAACACAGAAAGATATGATCTATTTCCTGAAGAACATAAACTGACACCACTGAGCCAGAGGACTTGTGGATGAGACTGGTTAGGGAGTTTCATAGCAGAAACAGAGAAGCGCAGATCAGTTCCTGGCATGATAAATGATAAAAGTCTTAGACATGAAAGAGAGACAAAAAAAATAGTCTAGAAAAAAGGCTGGTTTGGGACAGGCAAATAAAAAGAGAGGGGAAAAAAAAAGGAGTGGACTTTTGTGCGGAGTGTAAATCATGGAGGGTGGTGAAGTTGAGAATGAAGATCCTGAATTTTCTGTGATAAAACACAGAAGACTGGAATGAGGCAAGATATCAGAATCTGGAGAGGTGAAATATGTCAGCAACCAAGACTTGCAAAGGTGTGAATTATGGACGAAAGAAATATTTATAGGTGTAGAAACAGCCAACTGAAAGAAGTTATATTTCCACTTCTTAAGTATTTATATCTATACTTGAGCCATGAGTCTCTGTAATTCTGTTTGGCCTGTGTGCCTCCCCTTGGGTATCAGCTGCACTCTTGCTGCAGCAGCTTGTTCCATGTACTCTTATATTAAAGACGCAGCACTTGTTTAGTTCGTCCAGTTTAATGGAGAACCGAGAAATGCTAGTTTGAAATTCAGGGGTTCTTCTTAATCAGGAAGAGTTTTATTTATTTTCTGTCTTCTTCCAAATCCAGCAATACTAGTGGCTGATCTTGTTTAGCCTATGATATGAATCATCTTGGCTTAGCTGCCACAAAATGATTTTCTTTTTGACAGCTTCATTTTTCTGTTAGAATGAAGCTGGCTTGTGAAGCCTTCATTACGGAAGATAATAGTTTCACTAAAGGCTTTCAAAATCCCTGCATTAGCTTGCTGCTGGAGTTGATCAACAGGCAGTGAGTCTAGTGAAATAAAATTTGAATGAGATATTCCTAGTAGTTTCTGGCAGTCCGGACATACACTGTGGAGCCACCTTCTGAACCGTCAGTCACTTCAGTGTGTTTCAGCCTTGTTCTTAGGTGTGAGAGGTTGTAGTAAGTGGAGCCTGAAGGATGATTATACTTAGCAAGGCAGTGTGCAATAGGATCACGTCCTGGTTTTGGCTGGGACAGAGTTCATTTTCTCCCTAGTAGTTGGTATAGCGCTATTTTGGATTAGTGCTAGAATAATGTTGTTAACACACTGATGCTTTAGTTGTTGCTGGGTAGTGCTTAGACTGGCCAAGGACTTCTCAGCTCTCAGCTCTGCCAGGTGCACAAGGAGCTGGGGGGGGCACAGCCAGGACAGCTGACCCCAACTGGCCAAAGGGCTATTCCATACCATATGATGTCATGCTCAGTATATAAGCTGGGGGAAGAAGCAGGAAGGGGGGACATTTGGAGTGATGGCGTTTGTCTTCCCAAGTAACTGTTACATGTGATGGAGCCCTGCTTTCCTGGGGATGGCTGAGCACCTGCCTGCCCATGGGGAAGTGGTGATTGAATTCCTTGCTTTGCTGTGCTTGCGCGGCTTTTGCTTTCCCTATTAACCTGTCTTTATCTCAACCCATGAGTTTTCTCACTTCTACTCTTCCAATTCTTTCCCCAATCCCATTGTGGGGGGAGTGAGCGAGTGACTGCGGGGTGCTGAGTTGCCAGCCGGGGTTAAACCACAACAGATCATGAACAGTGCTCTCTCCTGTTGTGAACCCAGTGTCAACCTTTCCCAGTTTTTGAGGTCTGAGCAAAGCTGAAGTTCTGAGACAATGCGGAATGTAGATCTGTTGAAAGTGCGAACGTGGGCAGTTTTTGTAGTTGATATTGTAAGGGAGAAGGTGAGTTATTGAGAATGCACCCCTAAATCTCGTCAGCAAGCAATGCATCAGGGAACAGCTCATCTTCACTCGTGTTATCTCTTTCCCATCAGTCACTGCTTGACTGGGCACTCTTTAGAGAATTAAGCCTTCCTTTCCTGCTGTATTGATAGATATAAGGTGTCTATAACTGTAGTTACCAAATACTGTTGAATTTGCAAAGCACCAGTATTTCAGGGCATTGCATTGTCTGTGCTACTCGCTGTCTTGTCTCCTGCGTGGTGTCACCACCTTCAGCTGAGCCGTGATCTGAGCTGTCTGGTCCAACTGTCCTTTCCTGACCCCAGTGTCCTCTCCAGAGCTTGGATGCTGCTGACAGCTACAGCTTTTAGCAGTTGTGTTGGATGTGTTGGTTGCCTTCTGGGAGTGCATCTTCTGGTGTAGTTTCATCTGAAAAGGATCCACTTTGTGTGCTCCAAGGCTGTAAAGCAAAGCACAGTAAGTGAGGATGTTTAGGAGATTCGCTTCAAAAGTGCATTTGTGATGTAAAATAAATTGACAACGCCGGCACAACCTGTACATCCTCAGTTTCAGCAGTGAAGCGCAGCCAAAGCTGGTACAGGCTCTACTTCCTCTGCCTTCTCCTGGCTGGCAGGGTGCCTCGTGTTTCCCAGGAAAGTCCTTGAGTGAGAAGAGCG